GATATACCTCAAACAGGCTGGAGATGGAGCGGGGTGCTGGCATGGGGCTGAAGGTGCTGCCCTGCCTGCGGGCTCAGGATGCGCTGCCAACAGGGTCCAAACCGCCCAGGCCCTGGCTCTTCCCTCTCCTGCACTGAGAAACCCAACTGGATCTGGCCAAAACCCCACTCCGAGCACGTGCTCTGATGCCAACATCTTTTTTTTTTTTTTTAATATTGAAAGGAGGAAAAAAAAAAGTGCCTTTTCTGAGGCACCGCTTCTTTATTTATTGCCTTTGTCCAACTTGCTGTAAAACTCGAGCAGCACGGGGTGTGTCTGGGTCTGTAACGGCCACCCAAGTGTTTTTCGGGGGGGAGGCGTTCGTGCTGTTGTCTCATGTGCCGCACGTCGATGCTCCGTTGCACTATTGCTGCCTGTTCGCTGGCCCTTTCCCTTCTCCGGGGTGCGTGCGTCTTCTCCTCCTTCCAACAAAGTGGTCTTGAGAAAACCATTAAATTACAAGCAAATGGTAAATGTGAGTTGTTCTCGTGCTTGCTGTGCCGGTGGCGGGGGGGGTGCGAAGGTGCCCTTCCAAGGGTCCAGCCCATGCCCTTTCTCCAGCAGTGGGGCTGCTCTGTGGGCTTAAACTGAATTTAAACTGGTGCTTTGCCCCCGGTGCTGCACAGTGCTGAGCTGTGTCAAGCATAACCCTTATGTGGGGCTCAGCACCCCCGTGGAGGGTGACCTGTTCTGGTTTTTAAGGCTGGAACCCAGTGATGGGGGCTGGGTGGAAGCAGGACCTGCTGTTAGGGTACCACGGTGCTGGGGCTGTGCCCCTGGCCCAATGGGGACTGAACAAACAGCCCAAAATTGGAGGGAAGCTGCGCTGGAGGTGGGTGGCTGCTGAGGATGGTGGACCCCCCCTGGGTTGCCCCCTTCCCACTGCGGGCAGCTCTGCTGTCCCAGCTCCGCTCCCAAACCCCTTTCCCATTGCTGGTGGTGCGTGGGTTGGGATTTGGGAGATACCCGCAGGGCTCGGCAGCAGCAGCTCCCTCCTGGGCAGCTCCCGTCTCCTCTCCAGCCCTTTCCCCCGGCTTCCTTTATCCTTTTCTCCCTCTGTGGCATTCAAACCAGTTTTATTGCTCTGTAACGTGTAACGATTTCCCATTCCCAGCTGGGTTAATGGGAGCTGTTTCAGGTCTCCTCCACGGCAAAGCTGAGCCGCAGAGCCAGGGCTGCCCGCCCAGGAA